AAACAACTTGTTCTGAATAACCAAAAGGCTTAGGATGTTGATATTTAGTCAGTAGCATGCTGGGATCAAGGACTACTATGTTTGTTAAAGTGAATGACTTTGACTTATATTCAAGGTCACAGGGGTCAAATTTGTTTAAAATCTTTAAACGACCTCTTCTGAATAACCATGGGTCCCAGGATGTTGATACTTTGCAAGTTGCATCCTGAGATGAAAGGCTATTAAATTTGTTCAACATAATGACTGTGTTCGATTTTCAATCACAGGGGTGAAATGTTTAAAAAAAAAATAACAGGTTCTTTTGAATGAATTTTAATCATAAATACTGATATTTTATTTTGCCTGTAGCTTTATTTTAGATCACTTTTAAGGTTACAAGTGTGATATTTATACCAGGTGAGCGATGCAGGCCCATTGGGCCTCTTGTTATGCACATAAAATAGGCTTATCAAACCATCCTAATTGTAATTTCTGTAATAGAGAAAGGGAGTCAATCGTGCATATGTTATGGGAATGTGATGAGGTTGCACTAACAATTACATTACATATTAATGAAGAAACATTGTTTTTTGGTTTGGTAAATAACACAGGCATTTACAATCGCATTGATAATGAAGTTCTTCTTCCATGGTACTCTCTCTGTTATGGCTCTAGCTAATGTAATAAAAGAAAACTATGTGGTTCAAAAATATATTTCATATGGTAAAAGTGATCCTTGTCTACAATTTGTTTTAAAAGAATGGAAAAAATGGATGAAATCAGTTGATTTTGCCTAAAACCTGACATGATTTAGGCTGATATCTTAATTATTCAGTAACAATTCTGTTACTTAACTTTAATAAGTATCTAGCTCTGTTGTGACTTTCTTCCCTGACATGCTTGTTCTGATATCTGTCTTTATCTTTTCTTCTTTCCCCTTTTTTATTTCTTACCAGCTTCTCTTTCTCTCCTTTTATCCTTCCTTCTTCCTTATAGCAATACAATGTGATATTAAATGAAATAATACCTATCCATATTCAGTCTTTAGTGATACAAATTTCTTTTGGCATAATTTTTATGGTATGAATGTTGATATGAAAGATGATTGGTGACAAATAGGTTATTATATGATCTGAATGAATTACTGATCCATTATTATTGTCACTGTATTGAAAAAACTCTTTTGAAAATAAAACAAATATAAAAGATAAAAAAAAAATGGCAGCATGTAGGATGTAAATCAAGCATCACATTTTGTACTGGATTCAGTGGTGTTGTTGCTCATCATTTTCATAATTAATTATAAGTTAACAACAAAACATATATAGTAATTAAATATGAGAGGTGATATTAAAATTGATTTCATTGGGAAGGGTGAAAGTTTGACTCGGCAAAAACTTCCCAGTATACATTAGTCTTATGTAAGTAATTTTCCAAATTTTGATCTTTCACTCTCATTATGAAACACATTACACCCACCTTTAGAGGAATATATTGGTTTTACCTGTCATTTTGTTCAACTTGTTCGTCTGTTAACATTATTTGGCTAGTTCCCACGCAGGAACTAGATTAAATTGTTCAATCCCTTGCATAAAGCATCATGATACAATTGCATCCCACCTTAGTATTCTGGACTTCTATTCCTCAATTCAAGGTCAAGGTCAAAGTTACAGAATCTATACATGATGGGAGAACTGGCTTGTGCATGCATTCCTTACTTCAGTTTTCAATGATATTACTTAAAACTCCCTGCATATTTATTCAAACCAAAACCTGCCTAGCTGTTTGTGCCATCACTTTGATATAGGAATGTACACCATAGTACCAATTTGTAATCAGATTATCTTGTTTACTTTTTGAAATCAGCAGAAAGCCGTCTGGCATTTGCTTTTGCTAAAACTTCAGTAAAATAACAATGTCATTAGTTAAGTACAGGTCATTGTTAGCAACTTATGGACATCTGTATGCTCAGCCACATGTTTTCTTCCCCATGAGAAATTTGGAAAGTCGGTAAATATTGAAAACTTGGGTTAGGAAGAATGCAATTATGGGAAGATATGGAGAGAAACAGTATTAATTGAGTACGGTAAACAACTGATGCCTATCCCAAAGTAAAGAGAAGCTAAACACCCTGGAGATGTCTGCCTCGTGATAGATAACTAACCCATTGCCTTGGACGAGATGTGTCAATAGTGAAGGGAAGAGCTAACTAACCCATTGCCTAGGACGAGATGTGTCAATAGTGTAGGGAAGAGCTCTGCTACTATTACAATAGCCAGGGGCAATTTTATGGCAAAACCTTAATTTGTAAGCGCCATTTGTGACACCGACCAACTGGCAATAAACTGTGTCTCCCCATCAGCGGTAACACAGTGTAATCATACTGTGTGGTCACAGGGGACTAAGAGGGAGGGTTGAGTGTCAGCCGGCAGTGGAGCGAGGTACATTGCTATCTTTAATGTACACTCAACCTTAAAGCTTGAAGTGTGAATTGAAGAGCAAACATCTTATTCATAAGACACTTTCACAGTATTAAAGCTCATTTAAGGATAGAATCCCATTTTGCTGAGGTTTATGGGGTATAAACCTCAATTGGTCTTGAGACAAATTTTATGAACTGCAAAGCATTCAGCTAGTCATTCCTCTTGAAAATAAATTGTGTTTTTATGGTTTCCCTAGCAGTCCTACCTTTTGGCAGCCTGCTCAATGTTTTTGAGCCAATGTTAGACAAACACTGTCGAAGGCATTATCCTAATGTTCTATATCACCACTATGCAATAAAATAAAAAATATTCACCTACCTACTGACCTGAAGTGTTTTTTAGAGTTGAACCCGAAACACAATATTTTTCTAGACTTAATGACACAGCATCGAATGCTGATGGGTCCATTTGAAGGTTATTAAAAATATAATTTTCTTGTCCAGATTATAGCTTCAAAATTAGTAGTCTCCCAAAGTTAAGACTTTGTATGTGAGTTGCCCTTTGATTTTAGGCATGGGAGGTCAAGGTCACTGTCATTAAAAACAGAATTTCACAGAACAAATTACCTGTCCAGATGGTAACATCAAAAAGATAGATCACATAATACTTGAACCTAATATATGTGGGTTAATGTTTTAGCAAAGAAGGAGAACCAAATTGAATTTGCATGTGATTTGTCAAAGGGAAAGGTCCCTTATACTGTAAATAAAAAAAATCTGGTTCAGATCCTTATTTCAGATTAAATGATGCACAAAGCTAAGACTTTGTATATGAGTTAAATTGTCCTATGAAAGAGGAAGAACCCCATGAATTTTAGGAATTATCTGTCAAAGGTCAAGGTCACTGTTACTAATAATAGAGTTTACTATCTAGATACTTATTTCAGTGCAACTGATCACACAAAGCTCAGATGCATTTTGTGAGTTGCCCTAGAGAAAAAGAACCTTATTATAGGCATAGGTAGTCAAGGGTCAAGGTCAAAATTACTGAAAGTAGAATTTCACTTAATAAATTACATGTCTGGATGCTTAATTTAGAATAAACTATTGTACAGAACTCAAGCTTGGTATTTGGGTTTCGCAAAGGGAAGACATAAAAGAACGCTCGATCTGCCATGGTTCGTCAAAGGTCAAGGACATTGTCATTAAAATTGCATTTTGCTTGTCTGCGTTGTACCTCGGGAAGAGGAAAAAGACTATCGTTTTTGGGCAGTGTACATCAAAGATCCAGGTCACTCTTACTGAATATAGAATGTTTGTCCCTTTTCTGAATTCAGAACAAATGATTCCACAAAGGTCAAAGTTGGTTGCCCTAAAGGAGAGGAATAATCCTATTCATTTTGAATGTGTTTTTTTAAAGGCTGAAGTTAATGTACTAAAAATAGAATTGTCTAGAACCGAAAGATGAGGAAAGAATTTTCAGTATTAAAAGGAACAGCAAACTATACTTACATTAGCATAGCCCCATTGCCTGATGGAAATCATACATACTCTGTATGTTTAAACAACAAATGTTGCTCAGAGCTTATCAGAAGGATACATTGCCCCTGGCAGTTTTCTTGTAAACCTCCTAAAATATGTATTTACAGAAAGAAAAAGAAAAAAAAATAACAAATTGTTGAATAGGCTACAGCTGGGGTTTGTTTGATAATATTCCTAGCCCACCTTGTCTAGACTTGTGATTTGTGTATATATGTATGTTGCTGTCCATTGCCATCTGTTTGTTACATTAACACTGTGTTGTCCAGGGCATAATTTATGCCCACCCCTTCGTCCTTCCTTAAACAGCTCTAGTTGTTACCTGACTCGCTATATAAATGCATATTAATCAATTTCGACAATTCACCAAACGAACTATAGCTAATGTGTGCTACCGTAAAACTGTTGACTGGTCAAATGATGAACCAGTGCTCGCTCGGCACTCGGCCTCGAGAAACAGTTCATCTGGTGGGTCCCAACTCTGAGGGAAAATAGTTTTGACTGTTGACTGATAAGGCATGAAACAACTATATAGTATTGCTATTTCTCAAGAAGAGCAGGACAGATCTTTTCATATTTCATATATAGGTTACACTTGTTTCATTTGGAGACTAATGAACAAGGTGGCCACCAGGCTACCATATTGGCTTTTGATTGAGTTCAAGTTTGTTAATGTTTTATGGAGAATTACTAGAAAGATGTTTTTCTTAAGTTCATAAAATTATGTAAATTTCCCTTGAGATCTAGTTGTGTATGTTTCATTTTCGAAGAGTTTAGTAGAACAAGATGGCCGCCAGAGGTACATGTTGACTGTTGTACTCCTTTAATTCAGACTTTGTATCCTTTATTGACATTTGTTAAAATGTTATCTTCTTATGATATTTTTAAACTTTCAGCTACTCTGGAGACAACTGTGAAACAGTTATCCCCTGTCCTGTCTGTCAGAACGGCGGGGTATGTAACGGGGCTGTGTGCCGCTGCCCCTCAACCTTCTCTGGTTTGACGTGTCAGGAGGATATCAATGAGTGTACCCAGACTACCCCACCGTGTGAGCCGTATGGGAAGTGCCAGAACACCTATGGAGCCTACACTTGTACCTGCCTCACAGGTAATTCATTTCTTTAACAGCAGCCCCATAAATCACTTAATATTCACACTTAATTATTTCAATGTCCGAATTGCTATGTCCATTGTCAAATAGTGCCTGAGATTTTGTGATAGAATCTCCTTGCAAATTTCCTTGCGAAAAATTAAGTCAAATGAATTACGTTGCTGTGATTAGTGAAAAAACTGAGCTCAACACGATCTTTTAAACTGAGCTAGGGTCTACTATAATTGGGTATTTTAGACTTAATATTCCCCATGCTTTTGCCAAATATTTTACTAATCCATTGAAAACTATTTTCCAGCATGACTATAGCTTTAATAAATCTTTTCTGAAAAAAACATACCTTGCAGGACTTTTACTAAAAATAACAAAGGTGAATTAAACAAAATGTGGTCAACAACAACAGTGTACTGAGTGTAATCCAGCATGGCTACACCAGGACTGGAACCCTGGACCTCAGATTGTTATACTGTCACTCTCACCCACTGAACTACCAGGTCAACAACAACAGTGTACTGAGTGTAATCCAGCATGGCTACACCAGGACTGGAACCCTGGACCTCAGATTGTTATACTGTCACTATCACCCACTGAACTACCAGGTCAACAACAACAGTGTACTGAGTGTAATCCAGCATGGCTACACCAGGACTGGAACCCTGGACCTCAGATTGTTATACTGTCACTCTCACCCACTGAACTACCAGGTCAACAACAACAGTGTACTGAGTGTAATCCAGCATGGCTACACCAGGACTGGAACCCTGGACCTCAGATTGTTATACTGTCACTCTCACCCACTGAACTACCAGGTCAACAACAACAGTGTACTGAGTGTAATCCAGCATGGCTACACCAGGACTGGAACCCTGGACCTCAGATTGTTATACTGTCACTCTCACCCACTGAACTACCAGGTCAACAACAACAGTGTACTGAGTGTAATCCAGCATGGCTACACCAGGACTGGAACCCTGGACCTCAGATTGTTATACTGTCACTCTCACCCACTGAACTACCAGGTCAACAACAACAGTGTACTGAGTGTAATCCAGCATGGCTACACCAGGACTGGAACCCTGGACCTCAGATTGTTATACTGTCACTCTCACCCACTGAACTACCAGGTCAACAACAACAGTGTACTGAGTGTAATCCAGCATGGCTACACCAGGACTGGAACCCTGGACCTCAGATTGTTATACTGTCACTCTCACCCACTGAACTACCAGGTCAACAACAACAGTGTACTGAGTGTAATCCAGCATGGCTACACCAGGACTGGAACCCTGGACCTCAGATTGTTATACTGTCACTCTCACCCACTGAACTACCAGGTCAACAACAACAGTGTACTGAGTGTAATCCAGCATGGCTACACCAGGACTGGAACCCTGGACCTCAGATTGTTATACTGTCACTCTCACCCACTGAACTACCTGGTCAACAACAACAGTGTACTGAGTGTAATCCAGCATGGCTACACCAGCACTGGAACCCTGGACCTCAGATTGTTATACTGTCACTCTCACCCACTGAACTACCTGGTCAACAACAACAGTGTACTGAGTGTAATCCAGCATGGCTACACCAGCACTGGAACCCTGGACCTCAGATTGTTATACTGTCACTCTCACCCACTGAACTACCTGGTCAACAACAACAGTGTACTGAGTGTAATCCAGCATGGCTACACCAGCACTGGAACCCTGGACCTCAGATTGTTATACTGTCACTCTCACCCACTGAACTACCTGGTCAACAACAACAGTGTACTGAGTGTAATCCAGCATGGCTACACCAGCACTGGAACCCTGGACCTCAGATTGTTATACTGTCACTCTCACCCACTGAACTACCTGGTCAACAACAACAGTGTACTGAGTGTAATCCAGCATGGCTACACCAGCACTGGAACCCTGGACCTCAGATTGTTATACTGTCACTCTCACCCACTGAACTACCTGGTCAACAACAACAGTGTACTGAGTGTAATCCAGCATGGCTACACCAGCACTGGAACCCTGGACCTCAGATTGTTATACTGTCACTCTCACCCACTGAACTACCTGGTCAACAACAACAGTGTACTGAGTGTAATCCAGCATGGCTACACCAGCACTGGAACCCTGGACCTCAGATTGTTATACTGTCACTCTCACCCACTGAACTACCTGGTCAACAACAACAGTGTACTGAGTGTAATCCAGCATGGCTACACCAGCACTGGAACCCTGGACCTCAGATTGTTATACTGTCACTCTCACCCACTGAACTACCTGGTCAACAACAACAGTGTACTGAGTGTAATCCAGCATGGCTACACCAGCACTGGAACCCTGGACCTCAGATTGTTATACTGTCACTCTCACCCACTGAACTACCTGGTCAACAACAACAGTGTACTGAGTGTAATCCAGCATGGCTACACCAGCACTGGAACCCTGGACCTCAGATTGTTATACTGTCACTCTCACCCACTGAACTACCTGGTCAACAACAACAGTGTACTGAGTGTAATCCAGCATGGCTACACCAGCACTGGAACCCTGGACCTCAGATTGTTATACTGTCACTCTCACCCACTGAACTACCTGGTCAACAACAACAGTGTACTGAGTGTAATCCAGCATGGCTACACCAGCACTGGAACCCTGGACCTCAGATTGTTATACTGTCACTCTCACCCACTGAACTACCTGGTCAACAACAACAGTGTACTGAGTGTAATCCAGCATGGCTACACCAGCACTGGAACCCTGGACCTCAGATTGTTATACTGTCACTCTCACCCACTGAACTACCTGGTCAACAACAACAGTGTACTGAGTGTAATCCAGCATGGCTACACCAGCACTGGAACCCTGGACCTCAGATTGTTATACTGTCACTCTCACCCACTGAACTACCTGGTCAACAACAACAGTGTACTGAGTGTAATCCAGCAGGGCTATACCAGCACTGGAACCCTGGACCTCAGATTGTTATACTGTCACTCTCACCCACTGAACTACCTGGTCAACAGATAATAATTAGTGTCCTAGTCCAACTGTGCTACAGTTATATCCAAGTCAAAATTTAGAGACGATTAATGTATACAAGAAAAATCAGAGTGTATGGGACAGGGATCCTGACATTTTTAATCAAAAGCCACATAAGAATACAGTATAATTTAGTCCAACAACAGCAATAAATGTACACTGGCCGTGATATACATGTTGAAGATGAATAGGAATCTGTGATTATATAAGAACATTCAAGCATTTCTCAACTCAGGAAGATTTGCTGTTGAAGCAGGATACAGATATATGAATTTGTTCATATGTTTTCCTCTGTCAAAATTCTTGATGATTTCTTTTTGCTTCTAACTATATTGATGATTGTTATTAGTGTTGTCCTCGATACTTTGTTTTTGCATCTAGCTTTAGTGGTGATATACTTTTCTCCTCGATACTTTGTTTTTGCATCTAGCTTTAGTGCATGGTGATATTCTTTTCTCCTCAATACTTTGTTTTTGTATATAGCTTTAGTGATGATATGCTTTTCTCCTCGATACTTTGTTTTTGCATCTAGCTTTAGTGCATGGTGATATACTTTTCTACTCAATACTTTGTTTTTGTTTCTAGCTTTAGTGATGGTATACTTTTCTCCTCGATACTTTGTTTTTTTATCTAGCTTTAGTGGTGATAGACTTTTCTCCTCGATACTTTGTTTTTGTTTCTAGCTTTAGTGATGATATGCTTTTCTCCTCGATACTTTGGTTTTGTATCTAGCTTTAGGGGTGATATACTTTTCTCATCAATACTTTGTTTTTGCATCTAGCTTTAGTGCATGGTGATATTCTTTTCTCCTCAATAACTTGTTTTTGTATCTACCTTTAGTGATGATATACTTTGCTCCTCGATACTTTGGTTTTGTATCTAGCTTTAGGGGTGATATACTTTTCCCCTCCATGCCTTGTTTTTGTATCTAGCTTTAGGGGTGATATACTTTTCTCCTTGATACTTTGTTTTTGCATCTAGCTTTAGTGGTGATATACTTTTCTCCTCAATACTTTGTTTTTGCATCTAGCTTTAGTGGTGATATACTTTTCCTTTTGCTTCTGTTTAGAAAGCAATCTATCATCATGATTTAATAACCAGTTTTCAAGAAAATCTATCTCTATAACAATCATATTTGAGTATTTTTGATAGACGCATGTATGATGACTTGAATTGTTCAAGACTGCATTTTTGATACAGGATTTATCGAGGAAATAGCAATAAAAAGTGCTGGACCAGATACTATATTGTATGTACAAGTCTGGTTAGACCTGCTGCTGTGCTGACACGTAGGTCTTATCCATTATAAAGTTAGAAGTATTCCCAAAACCAGAGAAATATATCAGAAAATATTGATGATGGATGATGATTTATGGTTTGTGGATGGCATGACGACAGCTACCCACCTGTGTTCTTTGACAACCAGCATCAGTATCTTCCATTGCTGTAACTCCCCGTAGCATGATAGAAGGAGAATTGCCTGTCACTAGAAGATGCCTAGGAATTGTAATTGCTTATATCATGTATTATGAGATTGTCTTCAGACTGCTTCTTTTATGGATTTTGATTTTTGATTTATTTTTTTGAAGAGAAGAAAATGCCTACCAGCTATATATCAGCTTTCTGTTGTTACTAATGTTTGTGGGTGATTATAGTTATTTTTGTTCATCCATTTGTCTGACCATAAGTGTATGTATCTCAATTATCAGCTTATCCTGTCAATAATCTTCAAGGTTTATTATGAAACTTCATAGATGTGTATATCATGACAAGATGTTGTGTCACTAAAGGTTACTCCAAAGGTCAAAGTAAGGCATCAAAATTCAATTCATCAAAATTGTACAAAATCTGATCAACCAAAGCTGTTCTTATGAAATTTCATCAGTGTGGTAATACCTGGTATTATGTCAAGATTGTGTCCCGTACGATCAAAGGTCAAGGTCATTATATGGCATGTTTTTATAGTTTAAGTTATGGCAATGATTTCCCACCCATAAATTCAGTATCTGCTCAAGATTTCATTAATAAAATTCATAGATGTAAGGACTTAAACAAGAGGATGTGTCACACAACGTCCTTGGGTATGTACAACAAAGGGTTAAAGGTCAAGGCAAGAGGTCATTTGTCAAATCATTGTAATGTACAAATTGAAGGTAGTTTTTGACATATTGAAAATTGTTTCTTATGCTGAATACACCATATCATATACTGTGGATGGGAAGAGAGGGTTAAACCATTGTGAGTCCACTAGCTTGTTATTTTTCCAAATTTGTTTGTTCCATATTTTGAACATAAAAAATGGATACAAAGGTAAATATGAAAGAATATTACTATGTTATATTTGCTCCACAGGTGCAACAGGTGCTGAGTGTGACACACTTCTTGACCCCTGCCTAAGTAGTCCGTGCCTGTTTGGTGGTACCTGCCACGAAGGTGTGGAGGGGTTCACCTGTACTTGTGTGGATGGTTTCATCGGGGACAGGTGTGAGGCTGTGGTCAGGAGCTGCAGTAGGAACCCATGTGGACAGAATGCTCTGTGTGTGGACAACCCCACGGGTAAGCAAAAGCTTAAGGTCAGAAATACAGAGTTCAAAATTGTGATGTTATAGAATCAGTTATGTCTGAATATTGTGTCTTCCAATGAAAATTCCATGACATCTGTCTAGAACAATCACCAACAACCCAAAATACAATTTTGTAATGAGAAACTCTATTAGGACCCATACACAATATAAACATCTTACACTCGCATTACGAATCGCTGAATTTTTTTCTTAATATTTTTTTTCACCTCAACCAAGACAAGAGGAGGAACTGTTATTACGTTCGTCATGCTGTCTATGTGACTTCCATTTCACACAGAAAGTTGAATTCCTGTGGGTCAAATCTATTTAAACTATATACACTGACATCAATTTAAAAGATTTCAAAGGTAGAAGTCACTGTTACAGGAATGGAAAATTTGTCTCTATGTAGTTCAAAGTTCATAGTACATAGTTCAAATTCCTGCTGATCTGTGACACTCATACTTCATGCATTGCTTCCTTACAGAAATTACATGCTTAGAATTGCGTTTTGATCAAGAGGTCAAAAGTAAAGTTCACTTACTATAAATAAAAATTGGTCTCTGCTCAATAGATTGAGTTCCTCAGGGCTAATAATGCTGATACTTACTAAACTGGTTCCTTGCTCGGTGATTGCTTTTCAGGTATGCAGGTCAGAGGTCGAGGTTGCTGTAACTGTAAATAAATATTGGCTCCCCAAAATAATACATACTTACCCTGCTTCCTTACCAAAAATGCTAGCTTGGGATTGTTTTATTTTAGGTTCAAAGGCCTAAAGTCAAGGTCACTGTTTCTATACACCTGGTAGAACATAACATTTTGCACCAGGTGCAAACAAATATCTTGGTACACATATCAAAATTCAAACCACTATCTCACAACTTAAAACACTGATAGTGGTATTAGTACATTGTTTCATGAAACCATGCATTCACAATTGTTTTTCGAGTCATTAATGAAATGATTTAAATTCGCAAAAGGAATAGCAGTAGCTGTACATCCCTTATTTCATTGTATCTGAATATATATTTACAAAATATTTGAATTTATTATTGATTCTGCAGGCAAGTAAACACAAAAGTATACATTTCTCTTGAAACGTAACTCATGTATATGTATAGTGCTGGGTGAGCGATATACTCTACAACCACATTGATGGTATGGAGCCTTTCAGCACCGCTGTGTGAGGCCATACAGTTAGACAATTTACACTATACTATCAGGTGAATCTCTATGTGCATGCTACATGTACATGTATGTGTTCTTCTCATAAACTGCAGTGATATATAGCATGCAGCGTTCTCTACCAGAAAGCCATTAAGGACCTTATATTTCCCCAGTCTTATAGAATCCACTGTTAGATTGGACATGCAGGGAGGCGATTTTATAGACATATTGCATGCACTTAATTGTCCCATCAATAGAGCAGTGGAGACTATAGAGCAGGTTCATTCTCTTAAATGTAATATAACCAGGTCTAGAGGGGACTTGCAAGTCTTAGCCCAGCACATGTAGGGCGGACTCAATCACTTCAGTGTACATTACCAGACCTAAGGGGATTCTACAGCCAAAGTATAGATAGCTTCCATAATCCTGTAAAACATTTTATATTTGTGCTGGTTAGAAATTCCATTATTGACAGTTAGGTCTGAACCTTCGATATTGATATATTAAACCAATATACTTTTTCTTCACCAATATGCACTTTTATGGTGAGACCAATTTTGAAAAACTATACGACAATTTGGCTACGGAATTGTTGAAACTTTGCAGCGGAAATTGCATCAGAACACTTACATGTACGAAAAGATTGATTTTTTTTAAAGATATTTTTCTGATTGGTTTTCGTATGAGCATTACCAACTCTGTCTGCATCACAAGATATCTATTAGATATGATCAATATGTCTGGATTGAGGTGTCCATTGAAAGCTGTTTGTATACATTGTCAAACAAATCTTCTGTGGAATGGCATATCTATGGTATAATGGCTTGCTTGTTCACATAATGTACTCTGAAATAGCTGACTATATCTCTTTTCAATTTTGTTTTAATGGCAAGAGTACATATAATGGTGTTCAATTCAATTCAATTCAATTCAACTTTATTCTCTTTCACAATACAATGTATAGAGAAACATATTTGCAATATAATATATAGTAATTGTAGTGTTCGTAGTCGGTAGTACACAGTACTGTTTCATAATATATACACATTTATATCGAGGAGGTCAAATATTGTTATTTATTATTCTAATAAAAGTACAAAGTTTCTTCAGTGTTTTTATATTAGTAGTATTCATCAATTCATAAAACCTAATTACATTCAAGGAGGACAACATATTGCTGTTGAGAGGATTAAAAAAAATGGAGAAAAAAAACCTTTTATATCTGTTACTTCTGCAATTATTGTACGATAGATAGAACACAAGTGTCTCATGAAAAACAAGAACTCCTACAATTGTAAAAAAAAGTTGCTAAATATTAATCTTGAAGTGTGGATTTTTCAAATGTCATTTGATATCTGTTAAATTTTATAGCACTTGATTAAAACATGTCCATTTGGCTGAGATAACTGAGACAATCGTATGTAACGTTGTTTTAGGTGGCTACACCTGTTACTGTAAACCTGGTTACCATGGTGAGCAGTGTGAATCAGATATAGACGAATGTGCTTCCTCACCTTGTCGTAATGGAGGGACTTGTAACAACGAAATTGATGCCTTCAACTGCACATGTGTACCAGGTAAGTAGAACAGTGATGAAGGTGACAGAAAAGTCACTACTTTCCATGTAAAATATTTCAATAAATTAATAACAATGTATATTAAAGCAATATCACCACATTGTAGTACCACCACTCTGTAAATTGCCACATTCTTTTACAATCCATTATTGTTTTTAATAAATAATATGAACTTAATGACAGGAAGTGTAAATATTAAGCATTATCTGTCTGCTTTATAATTGTAAACTAAACATAAGCTAAATTGCCTATTAACTTCCTTGTTTAAACAGAATTGCAGGTGGAGTTAAAATGATATAGCACTACTCTAAAAAAAATTTCCATAAATTGTTGGCTGTAATAGTTATGGCTGTTTCTGTGGTTGATATTCCTTGTAAAGGTATCATACAACACTGTTTTATAATAAAGTGCCAGTGACCAGTTATGACGTAGTATGATCCTCCGTAGGTTACACTGGTCCCCACTGTGAGATTGACATCAACGAGTGCGAGAGCAACCCTTGCTTGAACGGAGCGACCTGCTCCGATGTGACGATCAACACATACCAGTGTCTCTGTACCTCAGGGTACACCGGCGCCGCCTGTGAGACAGATATTGATGACTGCAGTCCTGGACTCTGTCGGGACTTCCAAGTTTGTGTGGATGATGTGGACAGATACAGGTATAGTATGCAAACAATGGAATTTCCTCTTAAGAACCTCGCTTCTTCTCCAGTTATACAGTTAGCCTGATATACATGTACTCAAACTCAAAATTACAGGTATACAAACCATAGCTAAAAAAGTGAAGATATTACTTTATATAAAGGCCAAATACAAGAGTACCTCAAATTAGTTAAGGTTTGAAAATTTCACAGTCAAGGCAAAGGTTACAATTACAATTTATAGAAATTTCTCAACCAATCCAGTGACTTCATTTGTTAACAGAAGTTGACCAAACTTTAGACAAAGGTCAACTATGAGAATGAGTTTGTATTCTAGACACCAAAGGTTGAGGTCACTATTTATAAAAATTAGTCAGAAAAGACACTATTTTGCATGGCAACTGGCCATGGGTCATTCACGTCTCAGACATTTTTCCAATTCTGAAATATTTTTTATACCTTTATCATTTATTGTTGTCCAAAAAAATAGCTAATATTCTTGACATTTTACATTGTTGGCTTTCAGGTGTGAGTGTCCAGTGGGAATGACAGGAAGTCAGTGTGAGACACACATAGATGATTGCCATAGCAACCCTTGTCAGAACGGAGGAACTTGTGTGGACGAAGGTGATCGGTTTGTGTGTCTGTGTTTGGATGCCTACGCAGGCCTACTGTGTGAGATACGTACAGACTACTGCGACCCCTCACCTTGCCTTCATGGTGCCACCTGTGTAGGGGACCTCACCACGTCCCCTTTTTACACCTGTCAGTGCCCACCTGGTTTCCTTGGTGACACGTGTGAGGGCGATGTGTACGAGTGTGGATCAGATCCGTGTCAGAACGGAGGTACATGTGTAGAGTTTACAGATGATCAGGCTGGGTATACATGCACGTGTGTTGCTGGGTACACTGGACAGGTGTGTGAAGCTGAGGTCAACTCATGTGTACTCACCTGTATCAACGGAGGAACGTGTAACAACACCTTCCAAGGTACATGTTCTTATATAGTTTACCATTGGATATAAATATTCTCCCTAACTGTAGGGTCATTTCTGTTTAGGCTGGGAAAAGATAACTCATTTCCTTACTAGGGAAAAGAGTTAACTTGCAATTTTTTCCAGAAATGACATCGCTTTCACTGCAGAGGTTTGTGCTGACATTGCCAGGGATCTAATCACTCTTGCATGATAGAAGTGAGGCTATGTCAATTATTGGTTCTGGATAACAAAAAGGATTCCATCAGTTTGGGGTTTCACTTGATAAAATAAACTGGGTTGATTGAGTCTATCATAATTGTACACACTTTAGAAAGTTTCTTTTATGCATGTACATGTATAAGTAAAGTATCTAAGACAAGTTCAAATATAATGTGTTCATGAAATAAGCTTTTGTGGCTGTCATAATTAACCTGCAGACCTTTTATTCAAGTCATGGGATATATATTTAAATGTTGACACGAAACAGGATTAATTTAAATTGTGACAGGTATCCAGAAGAGTTCAATTTGGAATGGCAATTGGATAACAAGATTATGTGCAGTGGCTTGATAAATAAATTTAGGAACCATTCTCCTACAGGTAATGAATAAAATATGTTTTGTTTGATCTATTGCAGATGAAAGATGTGATTGTCTACCTGGATGGACAGGTGACAAATGTGAGGTCAATGTAAAGGAGTGTTTGGACCCCCTGAACTGTCGGAATGGTGCCACCTGTGTGGATCTGCCTGGTAGTTTCCTGTGTATATGTGGCGACTTCTGGGAAGGGACTCGCTGTGAGATTGACGTGAAGGAGTGTAATGTGACTACGTGTCAGAACAATGGAACATGTCAGGAGACTGTCGGGGGTCCACCAGTGTGTAGTTGTCCTCCAGGTAATCAAACACGGAACTTCTCTCGAAATTTTACATGATTTTCCTTAGTTTTTCTGTTTATTACTCAATTTTTAGGAAAATTAGGCTTATTTTATAATCTTACTTCATTCAAAATGCTTCAAAATAATTTGTTTTCAACATTTCTCTCAGGGAACACTGGAATGCTGTGTGAGACTGTTTTGGATGCTTGTAATCCTTCCCCATGTCAACAAGGGTCTACCTGTAGTAATCTGGCAGGTAACTTTACCTGTACCTGTACACCTGGATATACAGGTGAGTAAGCAAAATTAAAGTACATTATCCTGCCTATATACCAATTCACATTGCTACCACCATTAAATGGGAAACATTCAGAAATGCAACACAAATGACAAAAGAATATAGCTGGGGAGGAAGCACTTGTCCAGATCATCATATTACGTTAAATCACATTTATAACAAAATTAGAAAATATCAGTAATTTTTCTATCTTTTAGGTCAATTGTGTGACCTTGACATTGATGAGTGCAAAGACCAACCGTGTGACAACAATGCTACTTGCCATGACCTTGTCAATGCCTTCATGTGTACCTGTATCCCAGGGTTCACAGGGGTCACTTGCTCAGTAAACAAAGATGATTGTGACCCTGACCCCTGTCTCCATGGCAGCACCTGTGTTGATGGGGTCAATAGGTACACATGTACTTGCCTTCCAGGATATACAGGTACTTGATAATGTTTTTGATTGGGTGGTCGTGGTGGTGACTTGAAATTACTTACATGTGTTACAATGTTATATTACATAAAAGATGTGAGTAATAATTATTAAGATGTTTTCACTAACTCTGCTGCAGAACTAAATGAGCATTAAAGGTTATTAAGTGGTACTTTTTATAGGCAAAGATGGTTCATACAGTTAAATGTCAATTACTTTTCCTTCCCAGGTGCCAGATGTGGTGTGGAGATTAATGAGTGTGGCCTTGACCCTTGTATGAACAACGCGACCTGTGTGGATGGGAACAACTCCTACACCTGTCAGTGCCCATCTGGATTTACAGGTAACAAGGCCAGGTTGTGTCTAGATGAAATAAGGTGTCTCCTAAATCAAAAACTGATTAATTTAATGAGAGGTCACAGATAAATGTATCAATTTGGCACTTAATTTGGTACTTACAATTTTTGTCTCACTGCCACAAAGTGGAAGCAATTAAGATCTAGGTGTTGCTTCTCCGGCGACGGCATCAACATCAAGATTTTGTGTTTAAGTTAGTTTCTCTGAAAGTATAAGTTCTAAACTTTGACCATAGATTCATCTTAGGTTGTAAATCTCAACCCATGCATCAAATTCTGGATGCGGCCTACCTTTTATGGTCCATTGACTTTGTCAGCAACTCCATCAACATTAAGTTTTTGCATTTAAGTTAGTTTCTCTGATATGTGCATTGATGGTCAAAGCGGGGCATAGGTGAGACATTTTAATCTAAATGGCCAGTTTTAAAATATGACCTCAAAATATCATATCATGCATCTGCGTTGTTCCAGGGCTTACATGCGAAATAGATGTTGATGACTGTATTGGAAAACCTTGCTATGGCAACGCCACCTGTCAGGACCAAGTAAACGACTACACCTGCCTTTGTCCACCAGGGTTTACAGGTGAGGAAATAGAATATAGTATGCCTGTCTGAGAGTTCAGGTGTATATATTGTATTATAACCTGTACCAAGCTAACATAGCATAACTTAATGTCCTCATTTATCATAGTACAACATGTACCGGAATTACAGTATTTTAATCCCATTTAATGTGTAATAATTAATAAGCAAATGAAATGATTTTTTTTTTATGACAGGTTCCTAATAACTTTAGGTATTAAGCATTATCATAGGTCAGGTTTCCCTATCGCAAAGAAATTTAGCCTGACGGGGAAAAGTATTTGACTTTGTGTAAAAATGGCAATTTTTGGGTAGAGATTGGGTCCTCAAATGGTAGGAGTTTGAGTTAACTTGGTTCCAGCATGACTTCTCTAACTTCTCAGGTAGAACATGCAGAGAAGATATAAACGAGTGTTCTCTGTCACCCTGCCAACATGGCGGTACCTGTACAGAGCCAGCAGTTAACCTGTACCAGTGTCAGTGTCCTACAGGTGTGTCCGGGGACAACTGTCAGTTTGTTCATTTTGCCACATTTGACAGTCAAAGCTATGTCCAGTTACCTCCACTACCTTCCCTGGTCAGCACTGGACAGAGAATGAGGCGGTCACTCGATGTTGTGACAATACTCTTGTCCTTCACCACATCAGTATCAACAGGAGTTCTCCTGTTTACCTCAGGGGTGAGTTGCTCAATACAATTCCTTCATCACTTTTATAGTTACAAAACAATTGTTTTTTAATTTTCATGATTTTAACATTTCCCATGACAGTAAAGATTTAGTTTAAACAAAAACACATAAAGGGATATTACATCAAACATGGCAATGACATACACAAAATATATACACTGTTTGATTAACAGCCCAGGTTTTACTTAACAGATAAATAGCGATGGCAGCCATCAGCATATGAGCTTGGAGATGTCACAGGGGACTGTGATAGTAACATTAAACATCGGTGATGAGATAAAGACTGGACAGATCCCGCTTACCTCCCTTGACCTCGGTGTGTACAACCACACACTCCAGGTGACGCTGTCATCTCCGATTACCAACATCACACTTGACCCTAGTAGTTGTGATGACACCAGAACATGCCAGCTTTCACTGAAGGTTACAGAGTTGGACACAAGATGGCTGCTGGAAAACTTCCTGTATGTGGGGGGTCTACCATCCTTGACACCGTACCAGCGCAGCAAGCTTACCGTTCCACAGGGATATGTGGGTTGTTTAGGGGTAGGTCATAGATCGTCATTGAAATCATGTTTTCAAATTAGATAAAATGTAGGTAATTTCTACCCAGATTAATTCATCAGAAAATTCATATATTGCTGCTTTTGATACTTTATCATACCAGAACACATGATGACATATATATTTTTTAAGAAGATAGTGTTTGGCAGGGACAGAACGTACATCATAACATTATACAGGAATAAATAAGGTACAGTTTGGTTTCTTTAATTACATGTATGTCTGCTGCCGAAAGCTTGTAAATTGAACAGCTATTGATCTAATGCAAAAAGGTTAACTTGGATGGAGAGCTTGAGTATAATTATTTCCAGTATAATATATCTCACACAAAGAAATCATTAATATGATCTCATAAATCATTTAAGTTTGATATTAACATATGCCTGGTCATTCTGTTCTTCTAGGAATTGATCATCAGTGGAAACAGAATTAACTTAGTGTCATCCAATTTGTCGTCTGCTCTTCCATTTGCTGGTTGTGCACCACATGACTCCTGTTCACCTGAATACTGTCAAAATGGCGGCATATGTCATGATGCCTGGAGCCGGCGGTATTGTGAGTGCCCTGTTGGATATGACCACAGCCTCTGCCAGCACCAGAATGAGGCTCACTTCGTTCCGGCATCTATGTTGCATTTTGCTGGAATCCAGGAGATTACACAGATGTCCCTTTGGGTGTCTGCCACGAGTCCTTCTGGCATCATAGCCTACACAGTATGTAGAACTGGTACACCCAAACTCCCAGACAGTATTAAATGTTTTATACTAGATTGGCCTAATACAATTAGGTCTTTGTTGGGCCCTATTTGGAGACTGGTACAAATTGATCACTCTGTCAGGAAAATTGAACTTGCATGCATTACAAGACACTAAAGTTCAAATAGTCAGTCAACTGGTTAATGCACTATTAAATATTTACATGCTTTGCTCCATTCTGAGAAAAAAAACTTGATAGTCTGCGTCTAAAAGTACTTTAAGGTTTTTTTCCTGGAGAAATACTGTACTCCATTCTGGAAAAATTAAGTCATAAAGATTAAAATCAAAAATATTTACATAACTGTATTTTATTTTAAGCTGATATTCATGGTATGAAATATTTGTGAGAGGATATAACAGTGATCATTCTGTTCTGTCCACAGCTGGGGTTTGAATCCATGGCCTTGATACTGGACAAAGGACAGCTGAGGTTGCAGATCCTTGCCTCAAATTCAGAGTATTTGAGTCAGGTTGGTGAGAACCTTGACCATGGCAACTGGTTCTACATCAACATGAGATTAGGGGCAGGACAGTACAGACTTCAGGGTAGGTATCTATTGTAGGGCTGGGTCTAAATCAACATGAGATTAGAGGCAGGGCAGTACAGACTTCAGGGTAGGTATCTATTGTAGGGCTGGGTCTACATCAACATGAGATTAGGGGCAGGACAGTACAGGCTTCAGGGTAGGTATCTATTGTAGACATGGGTCTACATCAACATGAGATTAGGGGCAGGACAGTACAGACGTCGGGGTAGGTATCTGTTGTAGGGCTTGGTCTACATCAACATGAGATTAGGGGCAGGACAGTACAGACTTCAGGGTAGGTATCTATTGTAGGGCTGGGTCTGCATCAACATGAGATTAGGGACAGGACAGTACAGACTTCAGGGAAGGTATCTATTGTAGGACTGGGTCTACATCAATATGAGATTAGGGGCAGGACAGTACAGGCTTCAGGGTAGGTATCTATTGTAGGGCTGGGTCTACATTAACATGAGATTAGGGGCAGGACAGTACAGGCTTCAGGGTAGGTATCTATTGTAGGGCTGGGTCTACATCAACATGAGATTAGGGGCAGGACAGTACAGACTTCAGGGTAGGTATCTATTGTAGGGCTGGGTCTACATCAACATGAGATTAGGGGCAGGACAGTACAGACTTCAGGGTAGGTATCTATATTGAAGGGATTAATCTACATGTACTTCAATGTCAAGTTTGGAGTTGGCTAGTATAGTCTTAAGGGTAAACATATACATGAGGCTAGGGACAGGTAGTACTGATTTCTGGTTAGGTATCTACATCATGAGACTAGCTAGGGGCTGGCTAGTACTGATTTCAGGGTAGGTATCTATTGTAGGGCTTGGTCTAACATCAGGGTATGGCCAGCTAGACCTGCTGACTTCAAGGTCAGCATCATCATGAGGATAGGGGCTGGCTAGTATTGATTTCAGGGTGGGTATTCATTACAGGGCTGGGTCTACATAAACATGAAATTACTTTTTCTTGAAGGATCTTTGCTAGTTTGAATATTGTATAAAGTGTATAATACCTGAGCCAATAGGACAGGTTCAGACTTTAAATTTAGCTCTGATTCTCTATTTACTTCATCAAACTTCATATGTAGGTACAGTTTGATGAGTACAATACCATCATATAACATGTAGGTATCTATGGCCTATATATAACATGTAGGTATCTATGGCCTATATATAACGCTCACTGAATTTGGTCAGACTTTGTGTTTAGTTTCAATTCAACTAAAACATGGGGGCCTTTTTAACATTTCCTAATTAAGGGTGTAGTTATGCTTTCATAATGGTCAAGTTTTGATAAATTTTACAATGATAAGTTAACTTGTCTTGTGATTTCCTTTAGACTTAACATTACTTTGTGATAACAGTTTCCAGTAAAAGCAATGGAGTTGTCGGAACATCCAGTGGAACTGTCGGTAATTTCCTGACTATTCAAATGCCTGTGTTTTATGGTCGACTGCATGACCATCCGGGTGTGAACAAGTGGCGGGTTAGGGAGACACCACTTCCTACCTACGACAGGTGAGCAGGCATCGCACCTATAGAGGTCAAGTAAAAAAACAGTGATAAAGGTGTTTAGGTCACAAAAATCATCTTATTTCACCAAGTCAAAAAAGTAGTCTTCAGCATCAAATATGTCAGACATGTATAGATTATGTCAAATGCATGTAATACAAAACATAAACTGGTATGTCCTCGAAGTTAAATAGTTGTCTGGGCTGTTGGGAAACTCTGGCCTGAAGAATATTATATTTGAAAAACAAAATGTTTGGAGATTGTCAGAATAAACATTTAAACAAAGTTGCATTTTAATATCAATTACACGTAGTAAATGATTCTATGTTGTTTTGCGGGCAATTTTTCTGATATCTTAATAGCCATCTTTAAATTATTCCTAAACTTTGCAACTATTTCAACACCAAGGAGAAAATGTTTCTTAAACGAGTGGCCTCCATGTCTAAACCAGTTTCTTCACTTGTCTACAGTAGAGCAGCACCAAGGTGAATATCCTGGTTTTAGTTTCATTGAAAGACAAAAAGTTCCATGAGATACCAATGATATAACGTAACAATTACGGTAGGCTTTCACCTTATATTACCTAGCGTGACAATAACATCCATAGCTTTCTGAAGCTCTTGCCTGATAAAAACTATTGCATACAGATTTTCAATAGAAATCAAAACTATATAAACCATATGCTTGAAGATTGTATAGTAAATTTATTATCTTTTGAACAGTTTTAAAGGTTGCATCAAGGATTTGATCATCAACAATCGGCCAGTTGACTTTCAGACAAGTCAGGCCTCCATATTTGGTAACGACCCACCTATGGCTACGCCTGGCTGTCCCAGGGAGGAAGTATGTCGACCGTCCCCCTGTCAGAACAATGGTGCCTGTGTGGGAGGGTGGGACGGCCATTCCTGTACCTGTCCAGCCAACTACGAAGGATATAACTGTACAGAAGGTAAAAAGGATTCCGTAATTACATCTGGTATTGTAATATATGGGAAAATTTGTTCCTAGTTCTTATAAAAATAAATATGAATGAACAGGGTAAGAGAAAAAATATCTGTCACCCCCTTGAGGGTGAGATAGGGATTCCTCACCCCCAAGGGGGCGAGAGATTCTTTTAATCTTTAGTGGACAATTTGATGCGTAATGTTTGTCCAGACTTCACAATGTAACACTTGAATAGCTCCACAGTTTATGAAATGTTGATGCTGCATGTACTATGACTAAACAATATGTCTACTATTCCGATGTCTATAACATTCAAGGGGAAGGTTACCACATGTACAGGGATCAAATAATTGCACAGCAGCTAGTGCACTACCATCTGGGTCAACAAGATTGATTGATAAGTTTCTATAACATGTTTGATTAATAATAAACAATTTTAATTATTGGTAAATGTGGCTATAACTTCTGGATAGAACAGCTCTTCTTCTCTTTTTTTTAATAAAACTTAACAGATCAAGGTATCATGACTAAATGACAAGCCCTATACAGCTCTGGGGTCTGTCCCTCCATGGCCACTGACACCAAGGGGTCAAAAGTCCAATCATTGTCTGTGCCATTACCTTTCAGGCATAGTCTTTAAACCAATTGTATTTCACTGTATTCAACATTATGCAAACTACCGGTATACTTCTATATACTGACCTAACGGGAGAGGGGGGATAGATCTACGCCCGACCAGTAACCTATTTGATACAGTGTGTATACACTCTCTATCGAAAGGTAAAACACCAGGGTCGAGTGACGTATGAGATATACAATTTCATCACATTGTTGTACAGGTAAACAATACAAATCGCTCACTCAGTCATAGCTTGACTAAGGGACCAGTCGGTCTTAAAACGTTGAAACACGTTTAATATCTTTATTGTTTGTGTATAAAGTAAAACTTTGATATAACATTTTTCCAAACTGATGAATCTTATTGAAAATATACTTCTATAAATTATATTGCTTTAGTTGCCTCAGCGTCCTTCAACGGGCTGAACAGCTATGCTCACCTCCAGCTTGACAGGCAGAAGTTACCATTTGGGGATGAGGGAACATTGGACTTTAAGACCAGACAGCACACGTCAACCATGATGTATGTCCAGTTTCTGTCCAGTAGCGGTCAGATCCTGGGCAGTCTCGAGTTCCGACTGTACCGACAGGCTTTACAAGTTGTGGCTGGATTTAATGGTCAAGGTAATCGGAATCATGGCAGTTTTCTACCACCACCCATAATGTTTATTAGATTAGTAAAATCTAAAAATCAAGTGTCTAAAAACATTTTCCTTGCTGGCATTTCTTGAATTTTATTTCCATGACTTTGAGATTTTATAGAAATATAAACACTCACTCCTAAGTAATTGTTTTCATATTAAAACTATCTAATACGAAAGGTAACTCATTATATCATTAATGTTATTCTCTTAATGACAGCTGCTGACTTACACTGGCCAGTGATAACGAGTGTTACATTTATGACTTTACAATGTATAGGGCAACTACTACCACTGGTAGAATTTTTTGTAGATTTATATAAGGCAAGTGCAACATTAATGCCATCATAAGTCTTGTAGCAGCTTCCATTGCAGTTAATTATTAAAGTGTACTAAAGAAATAGCTCTTGCCATAAATACATATATTTATTTCGGGTTTTTTTATTGTTAAAGGGTTCTGTAATTTTATGATTTGGCACTTTACTATTGTCTTGAGTAATAAAACATTTCAGATGTTGGAGAAGACAAGCTGTTTGTTCCAATACGGTACTTATTTTGTTCTAGATATACTAGTATTGATGTTTAAATTTGTCTTTACAGAAAATGTTTTAGAATTTCCTGTAATCATCTCCGATGCCACCTTTCACCATGTTCAGTGGAGGAGACGAGGGTCAGACATTATCGTGGCGTTGGATGGGATGTCACAGGTCCTCAACACGACCTTTAACCCCTTCAGAGCTGATATTACTCCTACCATAGAAGTGTATATAGGTGCTAAACCATTTAAACAAGGTATTACTGTTATATTGTTATATTTTCTTGTATGGATTGATATAATCTGTGCAGTGTTTTATAATACAGGTGTCATGTATATATCCTCATCCAACACATATACATATAAAAGGGTGGTCAGGTTGGCTGTGGATAACACGCTCGCCTTTCACCAAGACGGCCAGGGTTTGATTCCACAAACGGATGTGAAAAGGTATGGGGTCACCTGCCTGACCCCATGGGTTTCCTCCGGATACTATTGTTTCCTCCAACATGAAGACCTTTCGGCACTACCAAGAGGGTTAATATAAGTTGATAGAACTTCTTTCTCAATTGTTGTATAATAAATAAGATTTAACAATGCAAATGTTCCTTTTATTTCAGGGCGATACTTTTGATCTGACAGTATTGGCATTTCAGATATTTCATTGAAAAGTATTTTGACTGATTTTATCAGCAATTTCGCCATTACATTTATATGTTCAACACATCATTGTGTTAAATCATGTTTCAATGGGGGTTTTTTTAAATTATATTTCAGGGTCTATTTATTTGATTGGCTATTTCCTTGGGTGTCTACGAGACATCAACTTCAACGGAAAATCCCTGGACTATATTGACGGCAGTGATCCAAGTACTGGTCTTTCTGTCATGGGAATATATAAAGTGGAGTTAGGTTGCCATGGAAATGATGTGTGTAACCCTGACCCTTGTCCAATAAATGCAGCTTGTACAGATATCTGGAATTCCTACGAGTGTCCCTGTTTGCCGGGATGGTATGACTTAGATTGTACCAAGAGTGTCGACGATTGTGTCAACAACCTGTGTGAAAATGGAGCTTCCTGCAAAGACGGTCAAATGACGTACAAGTGCCAGTGTGAGAAAGGCTACACAGGACAATACTGTGAGTCGGTGGAGATGATGTGCCAGGAGAAGTACTGTGTTGGGGGTAACACTGTCAACTGTACAGAAATATTCCCGTCAGACTATTCCTGTCTGTGTCTCCCAGGATGGTCAGGCAAAAACTGTTCCCATGACATTGACGAGTGTGCCAATCATCCGTGTCAAAACCGGGCTTCCTGTCTGGACCTCATCAATGGCTACAAATGTGAGTGTCCCACAGAGTACTTTGGTGAGATGTGCGAGTATAAGTACATCTGTGCTTCCGACCCCTGCTTCAATGGGGGTAAATGTCTTCCTCATCCTGACAACAGGGATTTTAACTGTTCCTGTGTACAGCGGTACACGGGCAAGCAATGTCAAAACTTCAACTTCTGCTTTAATCATGACTGTCAAAATAATGCTTCTTGTGTTTCCAGGGCAACTGCATATGAATGTCGCTGCATGTTGGGATATTACGGTGCTTTTTGTCAGTTTACAGACTTCTGTGTGGATGAGCCATGTCAGAATGGAGGGGAGTGTATTAATGACAAAACCTCTCACCTGTGCAGGTGTACTAAGCATTACACAGGTGTAAACTGTGAGCTTCCCATCGATAAGTGTGAGGTCAATCGGTGTCAAAATGGTGGCTCCTGCTTCTATAACTCAACTCTTCCAGAAACAGATTATCTTTGTGTGTGTCTGGAAGGGTTTACTGGTTCTCACTGTGAAACTGACATAGATGAGTGTCAGTCAAATCCGTGTTTAAATGGTGCTACCTGTGTTGAGAGTACCCAATCTCCTTTTAATTTTTTCCCGGGCTTCCATTGCAACTGTCAGCAAGGTTTCTATGGTGAACAGTGTCAGAATGAGACTGACGAGTGTTCCAGCATGCCGTGTGTAAACAACGGCTCATGTGTTGATTTGGTGGATGGGTACAGGTGTAATTGTACAGCAGGATTTGACGGCCAGCATTGTGAACTAGACAGAAGGGGCTGTACATCGACCCCATGTCAAAATGGTGCCCAGTGTCGGGAGGCCGATCTCAATGGTGACTACAAGTGTGAATGTGTAACAGGGTACACAGGAGTTTACTGTGAGGAAAACATAGATGAATGTGTAAACAACAGCTGTCAGTACGGAGCCGCCTGCATTGATCGTGTCGGGGGATACAAATGTCAATGTCGCCCTGGCTACAGTGGCACATACTGCAAAAACATTGTGGATTCTTGCTTCAGCAGCCCCTGTGCCAATGATGGACACTGTCATTACCGGGGTCTGTGTGACTGTACAGACGTCGTGGATTACTGTGGTTGGCACAACGAAACCTGTCAGCGCCTCCTTTGTGACAACCGTGTGGAGTGTACCACATATGCCACCTCTTTCACATGTGTATGTGACGGGACAGGTTTCCGTGGTGACACATGCCTTGAGGACATTGATGAGTGCGAGGGCCTGTCCGCATGTGAACATGGTGGGCTTTGTGACAACACTGTTGGTAATTACACATGTAACTGTGTTGACACCGGGTTCACAGGTCACCGTTGTAAACAGGATGTGGATGAATGTTATGGCGTGGATCCGTGTTTTAATGGAGGTAACAATTTTTAGTACTGCTTAATTTTTTTAAGAGAAATTTTATAGAGTAGCAAAGAGCCTGTTTTTCATCAATTTACCCATATTTTGTTTATTATAATTACAATTATTAATTTACAATATTGATAACATCAAATTATTTGGAGAACATTGCTGCTCAACATAGATCTATAAATGTCTACTTGTACACAAATATAATTGACTTTACGGAGTACATTCGTGGTTATATTCTTTTGTGCTTTTATGTTTATGAATTACTGTAAAAGTGGAAATTTTTGCAGCGTTGAAATGTTTGTATTCTTCACATTGAGTATACCAGCATGTAAATATCTACATGTACACACGAATATTTATTTATAGGTTATAGATATGTATAGAGTATAAAGTTTCGTGAACCATTGCCAATGTGAAAATTGTGCACCATGATCAGCTTAATAATAATAATTATAATTTGAGGTTCTTATATACCGCTTTATCACACCCTAGTTGGTAGGTTGTCTCAAAGCGATTCACAAATTATTATCCGTGGTTATAGGGCCTTTGCAACCAGCCAATATCTTTCTTGCAACTCCCTAGGGAGTATACAGCCGGTGCTGCCATTTCGGCGCTAACAGCTAGCATTCAACAATTCTAGCACTGCCCAACCATCAATTTATAGCTGAATTGACTGGAACAAGCGGAGTTAAGTATCTTGCTCAAAGATACAACACATTGCCGCACCGTGACTCGAACCCGCAACCCTTCGGTCACGAGTCCGGCCTCCTACCACTAGACTACCGTGCCTCCCAAAGCGTCATAACGTGAAAATTTACACTTTAACAGTAGTTTAATGATACTAAGGTTATCACCTGCTGGTACATTTGTAGTCTCATTCTGTCTCAAGTCAATTCAACAGTTCCATCTGTACAAATGTTAGAATGTTTGTACCCGGGTAGTTCTACTGAAACCATGGAAACAGTGAAAGTTTCACATTATACTCTCATTTTTCAAGATGAAGGTAGTATTAACCTGTGACTTTTTAAGGGAGGTCAGGCAATCATTGTTTATATGTTATGAACATCAACTATCTAGTGGTAACTAAAGTTATTTTTTCACTTTTGCAGGTCGTTGTCTGAACTTCATCAGTTCATTCCGCTGTAACTGCCCAGCTGGCTGGACAGGACAAACTTGTGGTCAGAACATTGATGACTGTGTCAGTCAGCCTTGTAAAAATGGTGGCTTGTGTGAGGACCGTATCAATAGCTATGTCTGTGACTGTACAAATTCTGGTTTCCAAGGCAACACTTGTGAGTATCCAATCAATGATTGTCTTGGTAGCCCTTGTCAAAACAATGGCCACTGTTTGGATGAGATAAATGGATATAAATGCGACTGCAGTGGTACTGGTTACCATGGTGACCGTTGTGAGTTTATGACAGATGAGTGTGCTTCGGTGCCCTGTAGAAATAACGGAACATGTGTGGATGGGCGAGAATCATTCACGTGTGACTGTTCAGGAACAGGTTACAGTGGCGCCCTCTGTGATATTGACATCAACGAGTGCGAGGCTAGCCACCGATGCATGGGTAGTTCAACATGTGCCAACAACGAAGGAGGATATATGTGTATCTGCGCAAACACACACACAGGTAAGATGGGACCAACTTGAAAGTAAACCTGACTCCCCTGCAGAATTCAGGATGGATTCTTCCTGGTTTCTGTTTTCAAGAAACCAAGAACCAAGAAGAGATTCCAGTATACTAGTACTGCTACTAGTAAATAAAGATGTTAATTTAAGATTTGAAAAGGGTAGTTTTACCCATCACAATATAGGGAAGAGACATGGTAATACCATCAATCTATCTATAACTCTTTAACTGTTGAGCCACTACACAAATTTTGCTCCAATTTTGTTTTCTTACAGGTTCCTACTGCGAGACCCATCTGTCCTTGACCGCTTCGGAGGAGGGCAGTGGAGGAGTCATTGCTGCCTCTGTCATCATTATCATTGTTCTCGTCGCACTGGTTCTTGGATATCTTGCATGGTACATGAAGAAAAGCAGGAAAATGCATGGGCGATACCGGCCTTCAGAGGAGGAAAATTCTGTCAGCTCTTCCATACCACTGGAGAAAATATTGGATGTCACCACAGGAGAGCGACTTATCTAAGGGGAGATAATATCTCTCTTACTATATGGGGAAAACTCTTTGTATGAAGTACACAGTCATGAGTCTGGGAAATGATTTGAAATGAAAATTGAACTTGCCTCAGGATTATATCACAGCCATATCGGCATACATCGGATGTAGCTGTGGAGAGTTGATCAGGGCAAATAATTCAATGTCTTCATCAATTTACAGCTTACTTTGATCAAAGGATATTCTGAAACTTAACAAAATTGTTATCAAATTGATTATCTGTTATTTCCTTTTTAATAAAAAGCATCAACCAAAGATACTAAACTGTATAACATAATTAATTGATACTGATGTATACATAATTATTGTGTACATGTTTTGAGATGAAGAATGTGTGGCTAGAATATATTATATTTGAATAGGTTGTGAATTTTTCTTCGTTTTTTTTCATTTCTGCTGAAACTGAACAGCTTTGATACAATTTGATAGAGAGTTGTATAAAGGCATAACATTTATTGTGTCCTCAATTTTGAAGAAGAAATTGAGAAACTTGTGCAGGAATATTATGCCTGTCAGAGAATATGAATGAAAAATTTGATTTGTAATTGAACAGTCCACTTATTTCCATTAGCTAGGTATTTATCAAAATTATTGGTTTCTGGGATATTTTGCCCGATACATGTACTGTTAAATAATTATTTGTTTTGTACTTTTTTATTTCTTGTTTGTGCAATATTTACCTGATAGTCAATACGCAATATTTTTTCATGCATGCTTTGAGATTAAAAATATTCAGCTTAGTTAGATAAACTAATTTCATATGTTTATTAGTGACCGAAATGTTTACCCAATCAATAAGTACCTTCCAATCAATTCTACTCCATTAAATACAAAATTATTCTTCAACTTGATAACATATTTCATTTCCCACAAGCTTTTTGATAGATTTTTAGTTTTAGTCAGAAGAGTGTAACAAAGTTGTAAATTAATTTGTGTTTAAAAAACAATGGACAAACTTGTTAATAATAATAATAATAGAGCAAAACTGGTTTATCTTAATTTGGATATTATTTGAAGTTGTTGAGTTAACATATTCTATCCAATTGACAACAACTAAGCCAATTATATCAACAGCATTACCAAAATAATGGGAGTTACTAACAGGAAAACTGAAGTAGCTGGGGCTGTATTATTGAATCTCTGCACATATCTCCTGTGTTGTATTTGTATTTTTTTCATTTCGATGTCACTTATACTCAACTAATACAATTGGAGTTGGCAATTTCCGACATTTGAAGTAACCTGCTGATGTCATATTTGATCACTAAGTTTTAACAGCTGTGATATCCATTCTTTGTTGAAATTGCTCCTATATCAAAAAGTAATGTGCTATTAAGAAAATTATGATTCAAGAAGTAAGTTTATGAATTACATCATAAAGAGAATTTAATTGATTTTATAGTTTATGAAGAGACTAAAACCAGTAGGCCTATCTTTTGCATAAACCGCTTTTGGATTATTTGCATAGTGCATAGCATTGCGTCAGTCTGTCCCCCATCAACTTTAAAATAATAACTCATTCCTTAAAAATGATAAAATTCCATTAAATCAATCATTTTAATGTAACAGTTTGCAAAAAAAAATGATGAAAATGCATGAGATTTAGCTACAGTCACTCGAGCTAAATCTCATGCAATTTCATCATTACGCTCCGAGTGTTTTTACAACATCTTGCCATATGTAAGTATTTCTGTTTATATAAATTCTAAGTCATTGGTCCCAAATTTATTTTCATCCCTCCAGTACATAAGAGCATCTGAGATTTGTTGAGACACAAAAAATGTACATATAAATGGAAGATTTAATACTGTGGTGTATGGTTAAACAATCTGATAACAGAAATAAACGAAGAAATCATGTTTTACTAAAAAGCATACCAGAAACTTAGTCCTCCCTTTATATATGACAAGTGTTGAAAAAGAATTTAGAAAACTATAATTGACAAATTACCAATAAATCATCTAATGTCGATCTTCACTCTGAGACAGTGCTCATTATATACCATAGAGTCAGTTTTCATTTGGTGACAATTGCAAAAAATAATAATTGAAAAGCCTTTTTTCGTTAATCTAATATTTTATGAATTGATACAATTTCATGTTTTATAGTACATTGAATCTCTGATGCCCTTATACCCATTGGAAATTGTGATATTTTCTATGAATGATATATAAGTGCAACATTTCTACATATTGATTTGTATATGAAAAGCATATGTTTTTTTACCATTTCGTATTTTTAATCATAAATAGATTTTTGTTTTGACATACTGTTGAGTTTCCCATACAATGTGTTACCGTATGTTAGATACTGCCCCTATTAATCCTTTATATACACATGTCTCATACAGAGATGACATCTGCTGGTTTGTATAGATGTACAAAACTTGTAATATTTTTATATCAAAATGGTTCATCAATGGCTTATCATTGCTATTGATTGTATATAAAACCTGTATTCAAAAATACCAAATTTTATTTAAGAAGTATCAAAAGAATTTAAAAATGTATACTAACTATGATTTAGTTTTTCTATCAATAATATTGAATACATGTACCGACGAAAACAATGCAGGAATTAGCATTCTTATAATTGTCCCTACATCTCTGACGAATTTTCATTAATTACCTGTGATCTGTTATGGTACAGTATATATAATTGCTCAAAATGAACATCTAGTCTAGCTATAAGGAATTACCTGCCCATATTAACCGTTTCTGTCAATAAATACCTGTCCGTGAAGACCAACTCCTTATATAAATACCTGTCCGTGAAGACCAACTCCTTATATAAATACCTGTCTGTGAAGACCAACTCCTTATATAAATACCTGTCTGTGAAGACCAACTCCTTATATAAATACCTGTCTGTGAAGACCAACTCCTTATATAAATACCTGTCTGTGAAGACCAACTCCTTATATAAATACCTGTCTGTGAAGACCAACTCCTTATATAAATACCTGTCTGTGAAGACCAACTCCTTATATAAATACCTGTCTGTGAAGACCAACTCCTTATATAAATACCTGTCTGTGAAGACCAACTCCTTATATAAATACCTGTCTGTGAAGACCAACTCCTTATATAAATACCTGTCTGTGAAGACCAACTCCTTATATAAATACCTGTCTGTGAAGACCAACTCCTTATATAAATACCTGTCTGTGAAGACCAACTCCTTATATAAATACCTGTCTGTGAAGACCAACTCCTTATATAAATACCTGTCTGTGAAGACCAACTCCTTATATAAATACCTGTCTGTGAAGACCAACTCCTTATATAAATACCTGTCTGTGAAGACCAACTCCTTATATAAATACCTGTCTGTGAAGACCAACTCCTTATATAAATACCTGTCTGTGAAGACCAACTCCTTATATAAATACCTGTCTGTGAAGACCAACTCCTTATATAAATACCTGTCTGCAATTATGAATTCAATACTTAAAATACCTGCCAATAAAGACCATCTCTTATTTGTAAATACCTCTTCATAAAGATCAACTGTGTCATACTGATATATATGATATCCGATGGAAATCCTCAATATTTATCATATAAGTCATCCCCTTTTGAGTACCAGACGTATTGCTTCCTGGCTTGGCACAACATCAGGGTGAGCATAGCTGACCTTTTGGTAAAATTCAAAACTACGTCTGGCAGAGCATATATCAAAGTACAAATGTACTACTGTAGTAAGCATGTAAATTCTATTGTTCTTTAAATCCTGATATAGTAACTACTAGTATCATGTGAGTTAGGTTTCCGTTGTGCTCGATTGTGCTCCATTCCTTGTTTAACAATTAGGCAGTTCTCCATTGTAGATTGTCACATGTTTGATTTGGTAATGATGCATATTCAATTATTGTGATGATATTTGACCAAATTAAATGATATGTGACCAAATTAAATGATATGCGACAAAATTACATGATATGCGACTGCTATGACAACAACCATGTACATACCTATATAGATTTTATTACAGTATGTATGTGTGTCATTTCATGTTATACACAGTTCCAAAACTTAATCAAATTCCCTTTTCATCCCCATCCCAGTTGTACTGGGAGTTTGGGGGCCGCGGTGGCCAAGTAATTTAGGCGTCTGACATTCTGCTACCACTAGCTCTCCACCACTGGGTCGCTGGTTCGAGACCTATGTGGGGCAGTTGCAAAGTACTGGCCGTAGGTCGGTGGTTTTTCTCACCGAGCTTTTGTCTGTAAATGACCATAGCTGATAATAGGACGTAAAACACAAACAAACCAAACCAAACTGGAAGTTTGTTATAAAAAGTCTTTTTGAATAATGCCCGAATTATGTGTAGATCATTTTGTTGGTATCAATTTAAATAAAATTTGCTAAAAACTACAATCTGTTCTCTGTAGGTTTACATACGAGTTACAATTTTGATAAAATATCTATCATTAATTCATTTAAAGATAGTTAGTATTTGTGAAATGAAAAATGAAAAAAACATTATACCAAATAAGAGAAATTTAATTGATGACATTTCCTCTGTTAAGATATGTTTTAACAGGACACACTGCTGTCCTCTTGTACATAAACAGACTATGTTATACATTAGATCAGGATATATAGGAGATTTAATCTTCAGACATCATTGTTGTTAACATTCCATCATTGTGAATCATTCCATCATGACAGTAATTTCAGTTGCATACATTACATTAAATCGCAGAGGTATTGCACAATTTATTTTCGGGGCATACCATTTTTTATATGAAAGGTAATCCTTATGTTTTGTAAAGGTGTAAGGTGTACCTAAGGTAAAGAGACATTTAACCCAATGAACCCTGTCACCCATACATTGTGTCGTGGCCCTGTGTTCTGGTAAGAAACTGGATGTTTTACTCCTGGTTTGTATGTACATTGTATACAGTATTACCATTGGCAGTATTTGGTCATAGAAGGTGTACAGGAAGATTTAACATGACACAATGTTTTAGAACTTTTGTTCTTAGACATGTGAGATACATTGGAGACCCATTATTAGATTCTAAATACAATACGTAGATTTGAGATGTATTTTGGAACATGCTAGGGTTATTGGTCTCAGAGAAGAAGAAGAAGAAAATGAATTGTAAATGTTGTATTTGGTGATTTTATCTCGATATGAGTAGATGTATATGTAAAGGTAGATTTATATGTTCCAAAGGGATGAAATACTGATAGTAAGTCATGTTAAAATCTTCTATAATATACATTGACATATGGACTATTTTAGTTCTATAATTATTTTTCTCATTTTTTAATAAAAAAAATGTCGGTATTTTAAAATGATTGCTTTAGTTTCTTTTACTGTTCGACTCCTTAATTTGTACTGTACAGAATTAATTTTATGGACTTGTATGAACACACTTGATAACCTTTCATTCTAGCATGCTACTGAAGGAACACCATCACCATAGGCCATATTATTAACAAGAAATTCAAATATTTAAAAATCAAAATAACCCCAGTGACCTTGAAAGAGGGTCAAGATCGTTTATTTGAACAACCTTGACATTCCTTTATCCCTGCATACTACTGGCCAAATATTACCACATTAAGACCCTTCGTTTTAACAAAATTTTAGCTGTGTGACCTTGAAAAAGGGTCAAGAGCAGTCATTTTAACAAACTTTAACATATTATTTCTCAGCATAGTACTGGCCAAGCATCATTCTTAGACCTCTTGGTTTTCATGTGAAAAAGTTGTTTGTCTATTTACATGTTATCTTTTTTTTCAAATTTGAATGTGTGACATTGAAAGTGGGTCAAGGTCATTTATTTCACCAAACTGAAAAGTCTCTGGGTTATTCAGAAGTTGTATAAAGGTTTAAGCAAATTTGACCACCTGGTACTTTAAATGTTACAAACAAATGTTGAATGAACAAACTTTATAGTCTTTTAAAACCAGAATGCCAGTGGTCAAATATTCACCCTATGGTTTTTTGTTATTCAGAAGTTTCAGTTTTAACAAATTTTTAACTACCGGTAGTTGTGACCTTTAAAGTTTCCAAAGGTTATTTTTAGCTCACCTGGCCAAAAGGGCCAAGTGAGCTTATGGTATGGGTGCGGCGTCAACTTTTTATTTTAAACAACTTCTTCTGAATAACCAAGAGGCCCAGGCTGTTGATATTTGGCCAGTAGCATGCTGGGATGAAGGGCTACCAAGTTTGTTCAAATGAATGACATTGACCCACTTTCAAGGTCACAGGGGTCAAATGTCTTAAAATATTCAAGCGACATCTTCTCAATAACCTAAAGGCCCAGGGTACTGATATTGGGCCTGTAGCATGCTGGGATAAAGATCTACCAAGTTTGTTCAAATGAATGACCTTCACCGACTTTCAAGGTCACAGGGGTCAAATGTCTGAAAATCTTCAAACGACTTCTTCTCAATAACCAAAAAGGCCCAGGGTACTGATATTAGCCTTGTAGCATGCTGGGATAAAGAACTTCCAAGTTTGTTCAAATGAATGACCATGACCCACTTTCAAGGTCACAGGGGTCAAATGTCTTAAAATCTTCAAACAACTGCATCTCAATAACCAAAAGGCCCAGGTTACTGATATTGGACTTGTAGCATACTGGTATAAAAGGCTACAAAGTTTGTTTAAATGAATGACCTTGACCAACTTTTAAGGTCACATGGGTCAAATGTCTGAAAATCTTAAAACAACTTCTCAATAACCAAAAGGCCAAGGGTACTGATATTGGGGATGTAGCATGCTGTGATGAAGGGCTACCAAGTGTGTTCAAATGAATGACCTTGACCCACTTTAAACCTCATGTCCTTGTTCGACATCCCATGTCACAGGCGTCATATGTTTAAATCGTAATAGGTTCTTATGAATCAAACACTGATATTCTGCCTGTAGCTGTATTTTAGTCCACTTTTAAGATTACAAGTGTGAGATTAATACTAGGTGAGCGATGCAGGCCCATTGGGCCTCTTGTTTTAATAAAACTGATAGCTCTTCATCTCGGCAGCCTTCTGGATAAATTTAATCACCTAGGACCTCCTGGTTATTCTGAAAAAGGTGTTTAATGGTTTAAGCAAGTTTGACCTATGGGAACTATAAAGTGGGTCAAGTTCATTCTTTGAACAAAACTGATGGCCCTTTATCCCAGCTTGTTACTGGCCAATATCATCACAGTAAGCCATTTGATTGGTCAGAAAAAGTTGTTTTGAGTAAAACGTTTGCACCCAGTTGATTGATGGACAGACAGCACAACAGACAGTACAACACAGACAGCACAACAGAATACAGCCACTAGGCCCTTTTGGCTTGGTGAGCTAACGAGAATACCAAAGTATGAACAAAACCATACTTTAAATTCAAAATCTATGAAAGTAAAGGAAACATTTAGGAAACGGAGACCCTTGAAAAAAACCAAATAGAAAGAGACCAGGGCCTGTAATAATGAAATTGTTCTCATGCTCGAGCATGGATTCTGTGCTCAAACCAACTTGTCAAACAATCAAAAAGTCAAATGAAACATTTAAAACAGTATTCGGCTTTAAGTCTTCAATATGTTTCCAAATCTTTGACAAAATAAGATTATTTTAATTCATAACTGGAACAAGAAATTAGGCTTGTGCACAAAATCCATACATGAGCGTGAGAACAGTTTCATGAATATAGGTCCAGGTCTTTGGAAGGATGAGTATCTTCTGCTTCACTGATACTACCCACCAACTAGGTCAAATCTTCTTGGCGAAAACCGAGGTGTATGTGAAGATATCAAAGTGACGAGACATATTTATGAGGATAAATAAGAATACTGACCTTCATGTCACATAAGGAAACTATACTTCCCTATGAGATCATGATGGCCACTATAAAAGTCGCCTCTGGATTTAAGCATTAGTTCTGGTAAGTCCAAACACATCAGCGAAACATTTCAAACGAATGTATCTAAAGCATGAATTGAGTGTATAATTATGTGGCTAGATATTTAACTTGTATCATAATTAAGACTAAAGACTTGAGCTAATTTATCTCCCTTTATTGCACTTGGTCACAGATATAACTATATAACACATTAAGGATAACTCCCAACAACAAAGCATTATGACACATAACAAAGGCATGGCTTCTGTAGTCATCTACAACAGTTAAAACTTCAGAATGTTACATCAGTAATGCCAGCATCTGCCAGTCTTAGCCAAATAATATATTACAACACACATGCCAATAATAGCATATAATAAAAGTGTACCTGCATTTTAGTGGCCAGTACATAAGCTATAAAAATATAACTGGTTATGAATGAATGTTGTGATCAGAAGCCTGAACATTACTGCTAACCCAAATATGTTTGCCCCTCAAAATTATCTTCCACTGGCCTTTTTAACAATTTTTCCTGTCAAGTGTTGACTTCACCATCCTATTTTTAAAAGGAGCATTTCCACACCGTGAAAATTTCTACTTTCACAGTATATCAATCACAAATACAATGTATCAAGAATTGGTCCTCTTGTATGGGGTGAATATGACATGGCATGAAAATTAAACCGGAAGAAAATTCCAATTTTTCAGTAGTCTCGTGAGAAATGAATTTATTAGAATTATAAGACCAGAAGTACTGTGGAGACAATGGTAGTTCATGAATAAGTAGATGTCTGCATTCTATTGCCTCCTTCTTTGTTTCACACCAGTACAAGTGATCCGTGTCACATTTTGACATGGAGAAGTGTTGTACAAAGTCTACAAAATTTCCTAGTTTTTTTTAGTTTTTTCCAGATTAGGATACAGAACATCCATCCGTAAAAATGTATTATGTTCTTGCCTCATTCACACACAGGTACTTGTATCGATTAGAGAGGACATGTTCGTCACACATAGGTACTTGAATCGATTAGAGAGGACATGTTCGTCACACATAGGTACTTGTATTGATTAGAGAGGACATGTTCGTCACACATAGGTACTTGTATCGATTAGAGAGTACATGTTCGTCACACACAGGTACTTGTATCGATTAGAGAGTACATGTTCGTCACACACAGGTACTTGAATCGATTACAGAGGACATATTCGTTGGTCCTACAGTAACAGCACTACTGGTAGTACATTTTACAGTAGTTGCTTTCAAGGGATGATGGGGCCAACAGATTCAAGCACCTGTTCATTTAATCTTCAGGACACCCTACATTTATAATATGTAAATTGTATACCTCGGTATATAAGTGTTTTACCTGAACGTGACATTGAGCTTACATAGATCTTCAATACAACAGTTGTACAGACAACTCAAACAACATACTGGTTATGGATTTTGTATGGATAAAATATCTACAGTGAAATTTGCTATCACTCTACCATCCCCCCTAAACACATTCACAGGGTAACAACAGATACGTACAACATCATCAACAGCTAGGACATACCACTTAAATAAGAATAATTAATTCACATCAATGATACAGGCATCTGTATTAGTTCCCTGTCACATCTTCAAAACTACCCCGATAACAATCTAACACACTGACTTTCAGTGTACAACAAATACCCAAGGTCACCTGAAAAATATGGTGGAGTGTGTAATTGTGATCTAAGCATTTTATAAAGGATACAAAAACAGACATTTCCAATGAAAAACACATTCAATGTAATACATTATTTTGTACTAATATCCAAAACAGGAAATATTGATACATAAATTCTGGTGTTATAAAGGCAAGACATGTTAAATTGCAGACGAAGTGTTTATACCAAAACACACAGAACTCCCGTCATTTGTCTCTAACTAGAGTACGATAGTAATGTGTATCACGCTTGTGTAAAGAAACCAGAAGTTACGGTGCGCATGCCTGGCCACCATAGTACAATCTACCGCTTTCCTTTGGTCGGACCAGAGCAACTAGTGGTCGTCTGTGTGCATGATTTTTTGAAAGCAAGGCAGTGATTGGTTGTTGCTTATCAGCATGTGTAAGCACACTAAATGTAACAGCCCGACTATGGTAAATGGTTGACTATCAAACTGGCCCTATACATCCTTAACAAGACTAGAACATGTCTACTTCATACTAAAATATTCAAATATTTACAAACACATCTTACACATTGTGTTAGTACCCACTTACATATTAACATTAACTGTGACAATAAATTACAACTATATATCTTCTAAACTCACATAAATAACAACCTTTCTCTCTTAAATACCAATTGGGGTCTAACATAGCACATATTACCATTTTAATTTTCTTTACCATGATAATAATAGTACATCTGTACACAATCATTTAACAAGTTTGTATGCATCTGTGCTTTTGACAAATGGATTATGATATGATAAGAATAAAAGGAGAAAACAACGCATGCACCTGGTTTATTGAGCTTAACGCATAATATAATAAAAATAAAAAAAACATATCATGTCATGTCACATAACAACAACAAAAATTAAATTCCAAAGAATTGAACCAAAATGGCCTTCTGGATATTAGTTTTATGAATTATTTTATATATATAGTTAATATATCCGTATTCTGTCTTCATTCAAGTAGTGCCTTTAGATTTCTATGATGAAAAAGTTCATATTCCCAACAAAAAAACATCTTCAAAAACGATAACGACAGAGTTCTGATGTATGTGGTTGTATGTCTGAAATAACAAGAGTTCTGATGTATGTGGTTGTATGTCTGAAATAACTGTACTTGTATACCTATCACATGATGAGACGAATGGAATTTGAAAGAAATTTATAACAGTACCAAAAAGAATTTAAAAAATATATGTAGTGAAAACCATACTGATCATACAATGGGATAACTTTCAAATGTGTGTATTACAGGTTTCTATAGCATATACGTATATGTCACGTCTACTCAAACATCAAGCATAATATTGTATAAATATGTGGATTCAGTGTGTTTCATGTGTCACCTAGAGATCATATTATAAGAGATGGAAAGCATAAGACATTGTGACGTGATATTTTCATATTTTATAGAGGAATAAACATACGAGGCATGTAGCCCGGCACCATGTAGCCCGGCGCCATGTAGCCCGGCGCCATGTAGCCCAGTAGCCTGGCGCCATGTTAAGAGATGTAGGTACAAAATTACACAATCAGTATGATTTAGCTCGTATCTAAAACTAAGCTTTCATTTTGCAGAAACTGTGTTGTTTACCAATCCTGTACAAGTCAAAAGACACAATTAATTCCTAAACGATTTTTAAGCTTTACCAAATTGAAATCCACTGGCCAACAGAATAAGGCATCTCTACCTGTGGCCCCACCTAGTGCGTAAGATAACATAAGAGGTTTCCCAAGCGAATCTCAATTCATCTTAAATGGCTCTGCCGAAAAATGAAAATCAATTTGGTAAAAACAACATTTTCGTATAGGAAATATAGATTATTTTTCAAAACTTCAGTTTAACAAGGGAAAATGGAGATTCAGATCTTATACAAACAGATACAACAAAAGCAAAATACTGGTCCAGCTGTGATATCACAGATAACAAAAAATAAAAACAAGAAAATATCAATATGATATAAACAAACACAGCCACCATGACCTTCTACTAACTCTCTATTACAGCAGGTGAACCTTTATGTCATAAAAAGTATTGACCTTTCCATTGACACTTCATGTGTTATAAGAGTAGAAGTATCTTTATTACCTGAAAATATTCAGGATACATATCATTTTTATAATCTTCTCTGTATGTTTGCAGTAATGATTACAAATAATTTTATATAATTAGTAATAAAATTTTAAATAAATAAGCCTTCCACTACCTGGTAGTCAAAAATATGGCCAACAATCTTAACAATCTGACAATCCCTAAATAGAAACTGCAAAATTTTGAACATGGAAAGTATTACTGCTAGAAGCTGATGTGATAAACATGTAAAAAATGTAAAAAAAATCTTAAGCTTTAAATTTTACCTGTGACAAAACCTAGGGAAGGTAGACCTTTTAAACAGGTGATATTGACACTGATTTTTAATCTACCCTATATAGGTATACATGTATCAAGGTGACTGCAGAAAATGACCAGCATACATGTACATTTACCACCAGTATAATGTAACAAAAGCAATCAATCTGACATGATATATACAACCACAACACATTTCCTTCATGCACCATACCATTTGACAAGAAATTACATAACCAATCATTGTACAATTACAACAGTCTTTTGCAGCCAAAGGGACAACTTGTCTAAATCAGCTTCCAAAGGGCCTACCTAGCTTTCAAATGTTTCAATCTGTCTGTACTACACCGCATAGCGACCAACCTGCCTAAACCAAACTCCATAGATGCTAACTATCTAAACCACACTCGAAAGGGCTGACATAGGCACCAATCTGTCTTAAAAGACGAAATAGACACCAATTTGTCTAAAACAAGACATCATTGGGACAAATCTGTCTGAACCTGACTCCACAAGGATCACCAACCTCCATGAGGACCAATCTGTCTAAATCTGACTCCACAAGGATCACCAACCTCCACGAGGACCAATCTGTCTAAATCTGACTCCACAAGGATCACCAACCTCCACGAGGACCAATCTGTCTAAACCTGACTCCACCTACATGTGATCCAGACACTGACAGAGATCAGACACTGACAGAGATCAGACACTGACAGAGATTTCCTGATATCCTTAAATGTAGTTGTCATTGTGACAAACAAACCTCCCTGGGATCCAGACACTGACAGAGATTTCATGATATCCTTAAATGTAGTTATAATTGTGACAAACAAACCTACCTGGGATCCAGACACTGACAGAGATTTCCTGATATCTTTAAACATAATCACATACCGATATTTTATATTCATTACTGTGATTTACTTTAATACATGAACTATATCACTTTTATTTGAAGTTCAGTTCAGCAAAAAATGAAAATAAAAAAAAACCAATATTGTCACACAGAATTCTTATGGTTTTTGCTTCAATATAAACTGGTACCTGCTGACTGGTTATTTATGGTATGAAGTGAAACATTAAACCCCTCTTCACAGCCTCATTCTATCGAGACAAGGCAAACATAATTGCAACTCTTATACAATGTCTATCTATTCGGTTACAGTAGGGCATTCTAAGACCAATCATAAATCCTACACAATCACACACCGAGGACTGTCCTAGTGAGGTGAAGTATACTGACACTATTGTGTTGTGAGATATCTACATGTGATAAGTGATAATTAATCCTAGCTATGTATTCAACTGAAGTGCCTTCAGCCTCCTACACTAAAACCCTGTCATCTGATAATGTCCTCTGTCCCTGATCAGCATTAACAGGTAACATGTGGTTGTCATTTCTGTAAAACACAAACCAAAAAACATTCAATACATTACATTGTTTGATAACAAAACCACATTTACCCATTACCTCACTACTGTTGCCCATTACCTCACTACCGTTGCCCATTACCTCACTACCGTAGCCCATTACCTCACTACAGTTACCCATTACCTAACTACAGTTACCCATTACCTCACTACCATTGCCCATTACCTCACTACCGTGGCCCATTACCTCACTACAGTTACCCATTAACTCACTACCATTGCCCATTACCTCACTACCGTTGCCCATTCCCTCACTACCGTTGCCCATTACCTCACTGCCGTTGCCCATTACCTCACTACAGTTACCAATTACCTCACTACCGTTGCCCATTACCACACTACAGTTGCCCATTACCTCACTACCGTTACCCATTCCCTCACTACCGTTGCCCATTACCTCACTACAGTTCCCCATTACCTCACTGCCGTTGCCCATTACCTCACTACAGTTACTCATTACCTCACTACAGTTACCCATTACCTCACTCCCGTTGCCCATTACCTCACTACAGTTACTCATTACCTCACTACAGTTACCCATTACCTAACTACAGTTACCCATTACCTCACTACCATTGCCCATTACCTCACTACCGTTGCCCATTCCCTCACTACAGTTACCCATTACCTCACTCCCGTTGCCCATTACCTCACTACCGTTGCCCATTACCACACTACAGTTGCCCATTACCTCACTACAGTTACCAATTACCTCACTACCGTTGCCCATTACCACACTACAGTTGCCCATTACCTCACTACAGTTACCCATTACCTCACTACCGTTGCCCATCACAATGTACGTTACCAGTTAACACCAATAATAAGTACATGCACAGCTTCTATTACTTTAAATTATTTTTCATGTAATTTGGATGGACTGATCCGCTTCAGGTAAGAATAATGTTTGAATGCATTTGACTCCAAACACTGTTTACATAAGTTAACGGTACACCTTTTTTTACAAATTCAAATCTGCATGACTAAGCACAATTGTAAAGATGAATACATTATATACAAAAAATTGTGTTCCAGAGTAATTAATTATTGTTTGCTTTGAATTTCTGTAATAACTGACAGCTTCAGACACAAACACTTCAAAGGGCCTGTTATGGAAACTAGAACACTTATATACCTCCTCCATCAAGAGCCAGGGTCAAAGTCAGAGATCCACTTTCTCTTTGACCTTTGGACCCAAACGACCTTGACCATTAACCCAGTGACCCTGATCTTTGGTCAGTTGACTTATTCTTTAATTCCGACCAACTTTGCTTCATAATATCATAACAAAATGTTCATCAGTGAAAAATACAAAACTTGACCTCGACCCTTTGGACCCCAAAACCTGGACCTAAGGTCAGTTGACTCCTTTTTAAATTCGGAGCAACGTTGCTTCATAATGTCATAACAAAATGTTCATCAGTGAAAAGATACAAAATTTGACCTTGACCTCTGATCCAGTGACCTTGCCCTTTGGTCAAATGACTCCTTGTTTAATTCCCACAAACATTGCTTCAAAGTGTCATTATGAAATATTCACCAGCAAAAAATACTAAATTTTACCTTGACCTTTGAATGAGTGACCTTGACCTTAAGTCAGTTGACTCTTTATTAAATTCCGACCAAATTTGCTTCATAAAGTCATAACAAAATGTTCATCAGGGAAAAGATACAAAATTTGACCTAACCTTTGACCCAGTGACCTTGACCTTTGGTCAATTGACTCCTTGTTCAATTCTGAGCAACATTGCTTCAAAGTGTCATACCAAAAAGTTCACAAGTGAAAAGATACAAAACTTAACCTTGACCTTTGACCTAATGACCTTGACATTTGGCCAGGTTGACTCCATGTTTAATTCTTATCAACTTTGCTACATCATGTCATAACAAAATGTTCATCAGTGAAAAGATGCAAAATTTAACCTTGACCTTTGACCCAATGACCTTAACCTTTGACCTCAACTTTTTACCTCAGTGTGTCTCTTAGTTTAATTTCGAACAAATTTGCTTCATAATATCATAAAATGCTCATTAGTGAAAAGCTACAAAATTTGACCTTGACCCCTGACCCAATGACCTTGACCTTTGGTCAAATGACTCTTTGTTTAATTCTAAGCATCATTGCTTCAAGGTGTCATACCAAAATGTTCACCAGTGAAAAGATACAAAATTTAACCTTGACCTTTGAGCCAATGACCTAGACATTTGGTCAGGTTGACTCCTTGTTTAATTCTGATCAACTTTGCTGCATCATGTCATAACAAAATGTTCATCAGTGAAAAGATGCAAAATTTGACCTTGACCTTAGAACCTAATGACCTTGACATTTTACCTCAATGTGTATTTTTGTGAACTGAACATCTTGACCAAGTTTCATGTACATCGGTCAATAAATACCAAAGTTATCAGCCAGGAACAAAATTTGCAGACAGACAGAGTGATTACTATAGGGCAGCTGTATCGGCCCTATTATGAATCTTGGCTAAGCTATCATTTACCTATGGAAAAACAAGAGCCTGTAGTTAGACATGATATTGGTAGGTAATCAAGGCTGACCTTTCTATTTATAGAGTTTTAGAGACTCCTATCATTTTGGTTGAGTGTCAGGTACATGTAGATCTACTTTGTCTTCATTATCCATCAGCGTCGCTTGCATCTCCACATCATCACCTCGTGCCTTTAACTTCATCGTATCCCGATCAGCTCTGTGATACACAAGGGAGGTAATAATATGTCAATATGTTTGCAGAATCATTTTCATACATACATGCTTATAATCATAATGGAAATCAATTAAAACTTTAGTAAGTCCCTTTTGTCTAGTGACCTTGGAATTGATGTAACTTTAGAGAATCTCTATTTGTTTAGTGACCACAGCAGTGATAACAATTTCAGCCACTGTATACTTTAACAAGTCGGAGTAAAAAATCAATTGTTTACCATCATTTTATCATATCTATCAATATGCACACAATGTTACATGGACAACCCATTCAAACTTTCCCAAGTGTTATAAATTATGTAATGCTTGTTTTCACATTGATAACAGGGTAGTCATGTAATGAATATTCATAAGTTGATCTTTTAAGTGTTATTGTTTCATTATGGCAATATGTTTACTTAAAATGAAGTAACGTCAAACATATATATGATATATGACATTGAAATATTCAAAATCAATTTGACATCTTCAATAATATAAAGCATATCATGAAAAATACCTGAATATAAAAGCATTATTCAATTAAAAGAGCACTCTCAAATAAAATATATTTAATATACTATATATAAATTTTATAATGTATATCTGAGTTAACTGTTACAGTACTTACTTTCTGCCAAGGAATATCATGCCATACAAAACACCACAGACAAACACCAGAGCACTCCCAAACACTGTGGACATCCCAAAACACATCAACACTGGGGCCAG